TTAACTTCTTCATAAGTACTATACAATTCTAAAATTATAAGATAAAATTTCAAACGTTTATAAATGTTTTAAAAATATGTAAAACTGTTATTGAAAAATAAGGAATCCAAATGTATTTACTTGTTTTTCTACTCAGGCACACAGAAACATTAAGGATTTCAAAAGAATGATCTAGTGGATGATGATAATAAGGTTACAGAGATTATAGCAGGTGTAATGACTAGTAAGAACACAGTAGAAATACTAATAGCATACTAAGTTATGTAAACAGTACACCTATCATAAATCTACTACCTTAAAAATTTTAGGGAACCCAAGAACAAACAAGCATGCATTCCATTTGTCATCAAAGTGATAATATCATTCTATGTCAGGTGATCTCTGGAGAATTCTACCATGTGCATGTGAAAGAATAAGTGAAAAAAGAAAACTCCAATTTATGGAAATAGTTTTGACATTTGAAGACCCATATAAAAGGGTCACAGGAAATCCCTGGGTTCCCAGACCACATTTTGAGAACTCTTGCTGCATTTAATTATGTTGTTCTATACATGCTCCCAGTTTTTGTTTTTATTGACATGCTTTAATAAAATTATTCGGACGTAGGTTTTCCCCCTCTTAGTTATTGTTTTCATGCAATAGGATACCATAAATAAAATTACTAAGGTGAATTAAGAAAATGGGACATCTACTAATACAACTGTCCTAATCTCTTCAAAATGTCAGTGTCATATGGGCAAAGGTGGGAGGGTTGTCATAAAATGAGAGACTAAAGAGAGGAATAACAGCCAAAAGCAGTGTTCAGATTTTGACTGGAGTTGGTTTGAAAACAACAATAAAAAATTGATAAAGACACTTTTGGATGATAGGTAATATTTGAATGTGAGATAAATACTAGATAATATTATAGACTTATAGTTAATTATAGTTACTTATAGTTAATTTTGTGATCATGGGATTAAGGTTATTTCCTTAGGAGAATTTTTTTTTTTTTTTTTTTTTTTTTGGATATGTATGCTGAAGTATTCAAATTGTTTCATATTGGCAACTTACTCTCAAATGTGTCATCCAAAAATATCTATATATCCATTAATCTATGCACATACATAGAAGAATACATGGATTGAGAGTAGATAAATCAAAAATGATACCTGTTAACATTGTGATTCTGTGTGTTGGGGATAGAGGTGATCTTTATTATTCCAGACTTTCAATTTATTTGACATTCTTTATAATAAAATGTTTGGAAATAAATGAAGTCACTAAATCAAATGTTACTAATATTATTTATTTATTTCCATATCACTATCTAAAATAATACAGTGTTGTTTTGAAAGGCATTTTTTAAGTACATTCATTGAAAAGTATGTAGCTCAGTGAGTAAGTAATCAGCTCCACCATCAGTTAGAGGGGATGTTTCATCCTTTCTTCACCAGTGCTGAGTGGAATGACCTCAGGCAGACTTTCAAGGTCTCAATTGTCTTATCTATAAAATAGATGACAATAAGAATGGCTATTTGATAAGGTTGTTGTAAAAATGAAATTTATATTATCTATAAAACCCTTAGCTCACTGCCTGGCAAAGAGAAACTACTCAAATCTCATCTTCTATTATTGTCATTACAAATTCTAAGTCCTTGCTACATTCAATTAGAAAAACCAATGGAAAAGCACCGCACATTAAATCATCTCTGTTATATTACATTCTAGTGCATTCTGTAACGTCGGGCCTATTGCAAGTCCTTAGGGAACCAAAACAATAGGTAATGCATCTGTAAGAATTACTGATAATTAGCATGTAAATTGTTACAATTTTTTTTATATATATAACTGAAAATATTCTTCTCTAATGTTTAAACATTTTATCTGGAAGTTTGTCCTTGCAATTATTCTGCCTTCTAAAGTATAGACAACTTTATTTTGAATTATCTTATATATAATTTGTGGAGTCTAAATTGATGTATTTTGATGTATTGGAGCAAACTGAACTAATATATTTCATGGGTAGAAATTCAAACTATAAACATTCTCAATTGTTTTGTTCCTAGTGTGTAAGCTACTAGTAGACCAATCATTCTTAGAAAGCAAATCAATTATGTGACAGAATTTATCTAGTGTTTGCAGAATATAAATCTTAGATGTGTAAAGATGGCTAGAAAAGTGTGTTCACAGTAATTTATGAAAGTGAAGGCATTTATTTTTCCTGTTAAATAGTTTTCTTTTTGTGAAGTCCAGAAGTGCTTCAGTTGTTACTGGTAATATTTTAGAGTGTTTCTTCTTAAAAATCAACCTTAATTTTTATTAGCAATAAATGCTGCTCAATGTTTTGAGGCATTTTAAAAAGGCATTAAAATTGTGAAAGATTATATATTTAAAATGCCCTCCTAAAACCTGATGCTTTTGTTTTCACTTAATGCATTATATAGTCAAGTAAATTTCTTCTCCTGGATAAGACGTCTCATGGAAATGAAAATACTATAGTATGGCTAGGGATAGCCAGAGCCTAAAGTAAAATAAGAGGCATAGTATAATAGGAATCGGCTGGTCTAAAGAAGGAAGCCAATTATAATAAAATGAGAAAAACTCAGTTCTAGTTTGTATTTTCCACAAATGCCTAATGGGATAGAAGCACTCTAATTATTCATCTCACAAGAAACTGAAATACAGCTCATTAAAAGAACAAGGCAGGACTAAATTTTTCAACCTACATAACTCATGGAAACAGCTTCCTCTATCTCCTTCTGTCTCTCTGTGATATGGTCCATCCAGCTGCTGAAATTGGCTGCCTTCTGGAAATTAAACCCCACATGGCTCAGACCGTAGCAGTAAATCTGGTACAACAGATGGTTCTGGGTGAATTGTTACACCTCTGCATAAAACCTTGGGATTTCATCAATGAGCTTTACCCTAAGTAATGGAAATCAAGGTGACAAATTAACAACAAAACTTTCATGCTTTTACCAAAAGAGCATATTATTATTTTTTTATTGTATCATTGTAATCAAGCCAAAATTGTGCTATAAGTCAAATGTCAGGCATACAAATGTATATGCACTCAGTTATAGCCTTTTCTCCAGTCAGACATTAAGCCCTGATTAATTAAGACTATAGTTCCACATCCCAGTTAGATTTTCCAGTGAAGTTTCAGGAATTATATGTTGATAAGCTTTTTTTTCTAAATTTAAATTTATTATAATTTTGCATAAAATAAGTTGTATTGGTTTGTACATTTGACATCATTTGGTATTTTTATTTACTGTTTAATGGGGAGACATAAGAGAACACGGTGAAAAGAATGGAACTAACATTGTATTTTGATGTATTGGAGCAAACTAAACTAATATATTTCATGGGTAGACCTTTTCAGGTCTAATCACTGTCCTATGAAGCATTTACAAATTCATGCTTTCGTAACTACATTCAAAATATGTTGTTTGTTATTTACAAATCGCTGAAAATACAGGGGGTTGAAAAAGACAGATATAGTTCTTATTTTTGTGGATTTTTAATTCTAGCAGAGAAGCCATGCAATAACAAATATCCAATTAATTATCTAATTACACTTGTAGTATGAGATTAAAGAGATCATGATAGGAGAACTTGACCTAGCTGGAGAGGGGTTGAGGAGAGTGGGAAGCTTTCCAAAGTTGTTATATGGAGGGAGACCTGGAAAGGGAAATAGAGCTTAAAGGAACCTGGTGACAGCAGACTAATAGAGGAGAGAGTGGCTTTCTCCTCATTATAAGTTGAGGCACCTATCTACAAAAAGAGTCAAACTCTGAAAACTATTTGTAGAGATCTATTCTGAGCCAAATGTGAGAACCACGACCCATGACACAGCCCCGCGAAGTCCTGAGAACATATGCCCAGGGTGGTTGGTTTGCAGCTTGATTTTATACATTTTAGGGGGACAGAAGTTACAGGCAGACATCCATCAGTACATATAAGGTATACATTGGTTTGGTCTAGAAAGGTGGGAAACTCAAAGTGGGAGCTTCTAGGTCATAGGTGGATTAGAAGATTTTCTGATTGACAATTGGTTGTTAAGAGTTAAGTTATTATATGATGATCCAGAATCGATAAAAGGAGTTTCTGGATTAAGATAAGGGGTTGTGGAGATGAAGGTTCTTATTATGCAGATGAAGCCTCCAGGTAGCAGGCTTCAGAACTCTTATCAGACATAAAAAGATGCCAGACTCCTAATTAATTCTCTCCTAGATTAGGGAAAAGACCTGGAAAGCAAAGGGGATTCTGTATAGAATGTAGATTTTCCCCACAAGAGATAGTTCTACAGGAGAGAAATATTTTTCAAAATATGTCAAACGAATATATTTTGGGGTAAAATACTTCAGTTTCTTTCAGGGTATGCTATCTGTCATGTGATTCTATACTAGAGTCAGGTTGGAATTTGGTATCTTATTTCTACAAAGAATCTGTTTTGTCAGTCTTAAGATTTATATTTTAAGACTTACAATGAGTCTTAAGATTTCTATTTCTATTTTAATGTTAATTCTGGTAAGTTATGACTGAATTCCAAAAGGAGGAGGGTATAATGAGGCATATCCAGTCCCTTCCTTCCCATCATGGACTGAAGTAGTTTTTCAGGTTTACTTTGGAATGCCCTTGGCCAAGAGGGGCATCCATCAGTTGACTGGAGGGCTTAGAATTTTATTTTTGATTTACATATCCATGGTCATGCAGGTAAATATAACAGTGATTTGGATTCAGTCTATCCAAACTCCAAGTTTTTTTCATACTCCATGCCTTTTCCCTGTTAGACATCAAACCATGCTTCAATGATTGCTTTGATCTTCATCTGCAACTTTGTTCTTTTTTCTCAGGTTGTGTGGCTAATGCAGTTGTTTGTTTGTTTGTTTGTTTTGGCAGATTCTTTGTCATAAAATAGTTTTGTATTTTAATTTAGATTCATGGTCATTTTTATTACTTATAAAAGTAAGTTGCGGTTCATGTATTCAGCACTATTCTGTTTTGTTTTTCAGTGTTCCAACATTCCAGAGCCTTCCTGAAGAGATCCTCAGCAAGCTCGCTGATGTCCTTGAAGAGGTAATTGTTTTTAACCTTTGAACTTTTTGAGATGGGATCCAGCCTGCTTGGCTGGTTTCTTTCACAGCTGTGTGATGAGGAATCACAAACTGCAGAGACCTTTAAAAAATGTTTTAAGCTCTAGGATGAGCTATATATTTGGCTTCATATGGAAAGTAGCTTAGCATGTCTGACATTTATATGCAGGGATGTGCAAATCAACCTAATTATAGAGGGAGACAAACTTTTTGTTGTGGTAAATACCATGTTACTTTGACTTACAAGAATAGAAACTGGCATATTTCTCTTATTTTAACTAGTGTAAAGTAAAATTGTAGTTATTGCCACTCTGAAGCTTCAGATTAGCAAATTTACAACTAGTAGTTGGGCACTTATTTTATTACCATGTAAGTATATTTGATACACATAATTTTATGCCTGAAAGTGGAATGTTACTTTTAGTTGTTTTTCTCTGAACCCATAAAGCTATGGTTTTGCGAAAGAGGAGAAACAATACACATTAGGTTATCCTTTTGTAGACTGGGATTCATAACAGCAGCAGCAGGAGGAAGTTTTTCCATTTAAATTGATGAGCTTTATATGGAATGTAGTCTAAAGTTGTTGTCCTAAAGGTATTGGGCATATAAGTTTTGTTTCAGGTTGAAAAGATTAAAAAATTGTATTTTCCTGTTTGCTGAGGAAATAGAGGTACATTGGTGGTGCACGAAAGTTCAGATTTTTTTTCTAAAGGTTCAAGTCTAAGTCTTTTGGAGTGAATTGACAATAGAGAGATTAACAGGAGAAAATGTCATATAGGAATAGTGTATGGGGGGAGGTCATGGTGACAGAATTGGAGGATGGGGTCAGAAAAAGGTGTGTCTAGAGTGCTATAGGTGCAGCCAACTAATGGAGGGCCACTTAGGACATTGCAATTAATTTAATTTTTACTTAGAGTGAGATAGAAGTCACTGGATGGCTCTAAGCAGAGCAATGAAATTATTTGACTTAGATTTTTAACAAAATTGTTGTGGCTGCTGTGTTGAAAAAAAAAATAAAGAAGCTGCTACAATAATCCAGGGAGCAATAGTGGTGACTTTGTTCACTGTGGGAAAAGGAGATTGAAAAATCCTCAGATTGTGACTATATATATAATAATATATATAAATATATAAATATAAATATATACATATATACATATATATATATATATATTTTTGAGACAGAGTCTTGCTCTGTCACCCAGGCTGGAGTGCAATGACGCGATCTCAGCTCACTGCAACCTCCGCCTCCTGGGTTCAAGCCATTCTCCTGACTCGGCCTCCTGAGTAGCTGGGATTACAGGTGCCCGCCACCATGCCCAGCTAATTTTTTGTATTTTTAGTAGAGACGGGGTTTCACTATGTTGGCCAGGCTGGTCTCAAACTCCTGACCTTGTGATCTGCCTGCCTCGGCCTCCCAAAGTGCTGGGATTACAGGTGTGAGTCACCGCACCCAGCCAATTGTGACTATATGTTGAAGGTACAGCTGAAAAGCTTTACCATTGCAGTACACTAGTGAAATGAGAGAAAGAGAAGAATCAAGGGGAAACCCTGAGGTTTCTGTTGTAAATAATTAGAAGGATGGAGTTGTTATGAAGTGACATGAAGAAGACTGGAAGCACAGTACCCTGAGGTGGAGAGATAAGAAGCTCAGGGAGAGAGACTGGGGTAAAATCAGGAGCTTAGAGATCTTTGGTAGGTAGATGGTTTGTTGTAGCATTGTTTGTGTGGAGGGAACTGTTGGCTATCTGAATATCATTCCGTGGGACCAAATGCAGATGAACACAAGGCAGAACCCTGAAGGAGGAAGCAGCCAACAATTATTATAAAACCATGAATGGATCTTAAAAACATCATGCTGAGAGAAAAGCTTAAAACCAAATAAAAGAGATAGTTATTGAAACATCATTTACATATATTAAAACATATGAGCACAAAAACACATTTTGCTGGGAGTCCTGACAAAATATTGAAAATTGGATACATGTGAACAGTGGTCTGTATCAGAAAAGGGAAGGTAGACCTATAGGGATAAAAGAGAATGAATGAATGAATGAAGAGGAAGGCATAAAGCCTTGCCTGATTCTCTACATTTCTACCTTAAGAGAATGAGGAATGAAGAGAGACCAGGAAAGCCTGTGGAAGTAGGAGGAAAATCAGGAGCATTTTGCATGTTAAAATCCAAGAGAAGGTAATAGCTTAGAGAAGAGTCAGCAAAGCTTGGATTTTAATTTAGGTGAAAAGATAAGGAGAGAAATGGGGTCAGCAGATAGGAAAGGGAAAGTCAGGCTGAGAGAAGAACAGAAAACATTATTGAAGCAGGAGACAGAGAGGCTTGCACATATAGCCTCTTGAGTAAGCACAAGAGAATAGGTGCTATAGTGCCTCTAGAAACAGGGAAGGTAGACTATCTGGATACACATGCAGGTGGGTGGATTGATGTAGTGACTGGAGCTGTGGAAAGTCTGTTATGATATATTCTATTTTCACAGTGATACAGAAAGCAAGGTGATCAAATGAGACTGGGAATGGGGTAGAGGTACAAATGGTTTGAGGAAGAAAGTACGAGAAAAATGGAAAAGTGAATGGACTAGGGAATGTGTATGATTGCTAGGCATCATTAAGGCCCTGCTTGATGTTAGCAATCCCAAATCTAAGTTAAACAGACAATAAAGCATTTATTCAAGACAATTGCAATAGGGGAAGGATATTTAACTCCATGGAACAAAAGGTAGGAGAGCTTTTAAGCACTGGGGTAAGCTAGTGGAAAAGTCACATAGGTAACTCCAGTGGGGGTACTCTAGGAGGGAGGCAGTTGTCCATTGTCATTAGGCCATCTGTGTTTGCTATTTGTTCCTTATGAAAGCTAGGGTCTCATCCTCCGGAGAGACTGAGAGAAAAGGACCTGTCTCCTTCCTTCTAAGATTACATTTCTAAAGGATGGCTCCAAGGTCCTTGAGAAAGATATTCCTGGGGTGTGAAATCAGCTGGGAGAAGATTTTCATCACAAAGAGGCAGATTAAGAATTTTCAGTTGAACATTCTTTAAAAGGAAGTGCTCTAAGTGAAGGGAAATCAGTAGCCTTGAGTCAGGAAGCTGACTGGCTAAAGTTTAGTCAAAAGATTAGTCAGAGGGGAATATTAAGCCCTCTTGGACACTAGAACATTTGATTATGTGTCCGTTTTTTAGCCTCATTCATTTACCTGGATTCATTTTCCAGGTAGGTGTAGAATTGGATTTAACCAGGATTGTTATTTTGTCAAGAGAAGATGGGTGGTTGACAGAGAAAATAGGGAGCTGAATGTGCATATGGAGAGTGACTGTAATGATTGACCTTGGAATTTAAACAGGGCAAGGAGGAAAGAAGCACCAGATGGGCAATGGCCAGTGAGAAGTGGTAGGATCAGTGACTTTTAGTCTCATGAGGTTAAAGAATTTCTAGAATAAAGCTATAAGAAGGAATAAGTTGGAAAGATAGTGAAAATGCTTTTGTCTCTATGTACTGACTATATCAGTAATTCTGTGATCCATATAGAGATTCTTAGCTGTTGGCTTTTTGCAGTCAGCTTTGCTATGACTTACTGGTCTCCTTCATCTATGTGAACACAAAGTGAAGCAGAACATTGTCACATTTGACTCCTATGTTCCAGTATAAAAAATTTATGAGAAACAGTACTGGCTATATTTCTCTCTGAATGTGCTGACCTGTAACCTTTGTAAATATAAAACTACTTTTCCAGGTTGGTCTTTTGCCTTTTGCTTTTTTTATTGAATACACTGAAGAACTCTCTGGTGACACTGCATATTGTTGTTTTTAAATCAAACTAAAGCACAAATTTATCAGCCCCAATCAACCTCCTAAAAAACAAAAAACAAAACAAAACAAAAAAAACAAAGACTCCATGAAATTCTTTAATCATTGTCTTTCTTTTCCACAGCTGTAAAAGTATTTGCTATTTTGTGTTACAAAAGCCATAGCTCTATAACTAATTCTGACCAAAGAAATATTTTAGTATTTTATGTCAGATTTTCTAATCAGAAGATGCCTTAATTTGTGTTTGGATTGTGTGAGCCATAGTACAGTCCATACCAATGCTGAATTAAAATGGAAACAGATGATTAAGTACTCATATATTTGTTTTCAGGAGGTAAAAATGAAGTAAACACACAAAATGCAAAGTAGACATGTAAATACAATACCCAGTACAAACATAGTGTTTAACTCAAGTTGAATAAACAGGCACAATGAGAAATTAAATTATGTATCAGATAAAATGAAGCAAATTTGGAAGAGCGAAAGCAATATCGAAGTCACATAACATTAAAGGGAAATGTGCTTGCATAATAATTGAGCTCTTTCTCAAATAGCCACAAGAAGATGAAAGAACCCCAGATTATTTTGAAAGGAAAGCAGTACCATTAAAGCCTTCAATGAAGAAGTTTACAGCTTTGTTTGTTTGACAAATATTTATGGAGCACCTGCCATGTGTCAGGAATTGTTTCAGGCCCTGGAGATTCAGGGCTCTGCTCTCATAGCATGTGTTTCAATGAAAGATACTATGAAAAGGAAGGAAGGAAAATAACATCAAGTGAGAAGGCTACTTCTGTAGTTACTAAGGGAAGAACTCTCTGAGGAGGTGATATTTAAACCAAGATCTAAATGAACGTACGGGGAGCCATGTGCATCTGGTGGAAGGAAGAGCAGACACACCATTTTAAAGTAGGAATGAGTTTCCTGTTCTTAAGGAACAGAAGGAATATTTGTGGGTGGTAGCAGTGCGTTGAGAGGAGGCTACAGAAAATTAAGCAGGACCAAGTTGCAGAGGGTTCTGCCAGTCATGACAAGGAGTCTGGTTTTTATTCTAAATATAATGGGGAGATTTTTAGGGTTGTAAGTAGTAAAGTGACATAAGGTGAGTTATGTTTTAATAACATCTCTCTGACTATTGTGAGAAGAGTGGATTACCGAGGGAAAGGCCAGTT